TTTAGCCCTGGGAAGTGAATCACGGGGTCTCAGCGAAAATATTCTAAATGCTTGCGATTTATTGCTACGTATACCAGGCTTTGGAGATTCAACCAAATTAAATCAATGTCTACCACAAAGTATTACATCATCTTTAAATGTATCCGTTGCTGCTGGTATTTTATTATATCAGTTAACTATGTTTCGGCATGGACACGAAGCTGTTGACAAATCCTCTTTTATTTCCCATACTGAATAAATCCTCTTTAATCTGTTTATGAGATTACTTTCACAACATATATATATATATATATATATATATATATATATATATATATATATATCTTGCATCTATTCCAATTTTGTGCATAGTTATATTCGATCAGAAATCATTTATTTTTTTGGAATATGTTACTTTGTTTTCAAATAAATTGTTATTATTCATTTCTTCTGTTTTCTTGTCTGAATTCCAATGAAATGTCGATTTTATTTGCATTTTCTTAAATGTTCGTTGACTTATTATTATTTTACTAGTTCAGTACTACCACTTGTCTAACCATTCCATACTAGGTATTCTGATAAAGTTAAAAATTCCTGTAAACACTGATACGGTGTCAAGTATTACCATGATTTGTTTTATTGACAAATAAAACGGTAGCATCTATGCAATATATGTTTAAACTATCCTTTTCGAAAATTTGTCTCCATGTGCGGGGAATTCCTACTTAAACTTTGACCAAGTCGTGGTGTTAATTGTATCTTTATGGACAGTTTCTTGTTTTCTATCTACAAATATTGGCTTGTTTACCAGTTTTTTTCTACTAAGGTTCATTTTAGCTTGTTAATTAATTATTTACCGCTCAGAGCTCATATCTTAATAAGCAGTAAATCATGAGTTGGTTTTTTTCACCGTTTCATAAAATAAAAGGTTAGAAATGTGCATGGATTAATTTTATTAAGAAATCGAAATAAATCAAATTTCATATTCTGTTCTTGTGATTAAAAACTACTTATGAGGGATTGATCCATTATAGAGTATTATTGTTTAAACAACAAAAGATAGTCGACTTTTACGACTTCTCTATAATTCGTTCAAAAAATGCTAATACTATTTCTGTCACTGAATTGGCAGATTTGTTTTCAGTAGACTATAGCAATTTATGGGGGTTATCTTGATTTTCTGAAGTAGTCTTTGGGTTGTTTGTTGGAAACACTTGGGTAAAAACGTATTGATTGAAGGGTGAATCATCCACTTCACGTGTTTGAAAGATTTACTCAAAGTTTCATATCATGATAACATTTCGCATATCTCTACTTCGCAATATCTACCTTCATTCAACTTTCTTGTAATGCGTTAAAGATCATCTTTCCATTTCCACTTAACATTTTGGGTCTAACTCTAAACTCATTAATGTTTGTATAAGGGTGTTACTAAGATAAATACTGTAACCTGTAGGTAATGTTATCATAAGGTTAGAAACTAACTTATCATAATGCATTTGATAAATTCTTAAGGACATTACCCTTTCAAAAATTATAGCTATTCACAATGACGTTTTGATGATGATCAGTTTTACACCAAACAAGTTTACATTGTTATATCAAATGTAGATTAATTCGTGTTTTATGTCGCACATAAAGGTTGCAGATATTTGCCAACTTTTTTTCCCTTAGCCTACAAAGAGATTATGAAAAGTGAACAAACTGGTGAAGTTTTGCTCCCACCGTCTGCTTTTCTTATCTCAAATCCTAGTCATTTCAATTGCCCTCAAGATGTGAACAATGATGCTGAACGCACTAATTCGGCAATAAGCAATAAGAGCACTAGAAAATTGTCAATAAGCTCGATTATTTCTAAGTAAGTAATCTAAAAAGTTATTCTAAATGCTCTTCTAGAGTTGTATATATCTGATTAGTATAACAGTGTTAATGAATAATGCACATTCATAAATTTTTTTGTTAAATCAAATCGCCCCGCGTTATAACTTCTCTTATTACTACCCAGCTACTCATCGCTTAGCATTCTTGGACATTACTTCACTCGACAAGTCCCTAAATCAGAACACGATTCAACAGGAACGCAATTATGTTACAAATAGAAAGGGTGGATGGAAGTAAGAATCACAATAAAAGAAATGTTAGTATATTTATAGTTTTTTACATATAAAGATTCTAGGTTTATTAATTACCGACATGCTCCAATAACTATTTGTAACGTTATCACCGGGCTGTTGCTAAATTTGACTAGGAAGATGTGTGGATATCCTCATTTCTTGGAAATTGAAGACCCACAGATAAAAATGACGTTTGAACTGGTCATCAAAGAGGGGGATCAACTGGAAGCGTTCACATTCTCTATTAATAATACCAGCATAATTGATAAATTCATTAAATCCTCGTTTATAAGTTCTATATGTTGATCATAATCCTCAAAAATCGACTCAATTTCAGCTAAAGAACTTATCGTATCTACATGTGAATTTTATTTTATCGATTCGAGATTCACCTCCATTTAATTATAAACCATTGTTTGTTTAACGTTGTATTAAGTTAGGATTAAAGAGAACTCTTTAGTACTACGTACATATTCTTGAAAATCTGTAGTCATTCAGAATAGTCTCTCTCAGAGACCAATTCTTCCCAATAAATTACACACTATGCAATCACTCAACGCATTACAAACCTGTACAGTAACAATAACTACCGTTTAATATTGAACGCGAAAACGATTTAGAAAACAAAATCGAACTCTTCAGCGCTTAGATCTTTTAAGGTATAATCCTTAGCAAAAATGTGATATCTACTATTTCGAAAACCCTAATCATGCTACTGTTATGCGTGCTACCTTTATAAAACATCTAATCATGTTTGGCATACATTGCCATCTCCTCTATTATTGACAGTAATGTGCTAGCAAAGTTTATTACTATTATAGTGTGTATTCTACTAGTTATGATGTGCTTTACAACGATGCCACCTTTGATTACCTATTTCATGTTATTTACCAATGTTCAGTCAAAATTTATAAATCGCGTCTGTTCTAAAGATATGTCCTAATTTTCAATGTTACCTCTTCTTTTGTATCAACCTGGTCAAAATAGTAAATTGTAATAAATTCTATTATCGTGTTCAGAGTATATTATTGTTATTATTAATTAAGGGCACAGTGTCCTTTTGTATATATATATTAGGGCTTCTGATCGCAAATTACTAGTTTAATCAAAACAACCTAATAACCGATTACAGATTCATTTGTTTGATTATAGTCCATACTTTATATTTAAGTGCTAGTGAAGATAGTTATTGACTATAAGCCTAATTAGGTTTAGCAGGGTTCAAACCTGTAACTCAAACGTTCAATGCTTTAATTCATAAACTATCATTCATACAATGTAAAATATGTTGCAATTCTGCTAGCAGTAATTCTTTTTATTTTTCCAAAGTGCGTATCATAGATGGTGAACATTTGTAGCTCAAGTGGACGAACAAAACTCCACCAAATTGCGTATCATAGATTTATTAAAAATAAGTTATATTAATTTGTTTTTAGACTAAATAAGAATTCAGCTGATAAAAACGATGATGGTCATTTTGATCTAATCAATTCAGAAGACATACAATTCAATTACACCAACAAATTTGTTAATGAACTGAAACAAGAAAATGAATATCTTTTACGAAGTCAGACGAAAGCTTTAGACGAATTGAACAAAATACGAGGATACATTGGATTGGGTAGAGTTTCATCTAAAATTACATTTAAGGAAGATTCTCTTGAACAACATAAATGTATTTGCGATACAGAATTACTGGAAAAGGTTATATATAAATTTTAACTAAATGGTTTGAATTAGACTTTTCGATTTCTAATCTATGTATCTTTTTACTCTGCCACTTCCTATTTATTAATGACTTTTGCTTTCATCAAATTCTTTGTCTTAATATAGGTTTCGAGAGTTAGAATATCTTTTTTAACGTTTCCAGCAAATAATTAAATTAAAGGTCTAGCTATCAGCGTATAATATCACTTGTTTTTTTTAATGATGTAATATTATTAATGCTGTAAGATAAATAATCCGTTAACGGTTGACGAGTTGTTGTACGTTACCCTAATCACCGGAAATGACTGAGTTATGTGATCATTTGTACAAATTTAATCGAATAGTTTAACAGAAATCGGGCACCGATCATAGTAAAGACATCTGTAAAAACTATATTGAATAATCTCGGGGACTAAAACTTAAATGATTACAACGTTCATGTTTGGGAAAAACATTCAAGCAACTGGATGTGAAGTTAAAGAAGCATAAAAAATGTTTGAAACATGCTCCATAAATCCTCACCAGACCTCAATAAGTTAGAGAATATATCTATAACTGCACTGCATTGATTAGAAACAGGACATAAGACCAACTTCAAAAGAATCAAAATTCAGAAAAGTTTTGGCATTCATTCACAAAAAACCAATGCCTATATTGGTAAATAAGAATAGCTTGAATAGAAAAATGATCGGATTAGCTGCATCGTGACAACTGTTAATGAACAAACAAATTTTCGAACCTTATCATCCAGCCTATCTATGCAATCTGTAGTTGAATTCCAGCTAAAAGACCGACGCCTAATAATTCAGTCAGTTATCATAATTGAAAGTCGCCTTCAATTATTTTCAATGTTTAGCATCACAACTAACTCTTACTGTTCACATCCTACATATATTACGACTACCTAAATTTACTTAAGTGTACTTATCGATTTATAGTAAACAAAAATGATATGTCCCTGATTGTAGTCAGAGGATTCATTTACCCACTAAATCCTTAATTTAAGAATAACAAAGACACGCATAAATGCTTATTCTTATCCCACATTGTGAACAAATTCCACATAACGACTCATATTACTATAAACAAAATCAACATTTAAACTTAATTAAACATGTTTTTGGCATTATTTGGTTTGTAAACTTTATTTATATTTAATAGATTTTTCTTGATTGTTTCTCTGAAGAAGCTCAAGTCATTTGCCAGAAGGAACGCCGAAATTATTTTGATATCAATCGTTGAGTCTGCTCAGACATAATTTTCGTATCATGACTGAGCTAGCTTGGTTATATACATCTTTGTCCTAAAACTATTAGTTTCTATATGTTGGTTAGTATAAAAAACGTTGCACTCTACCACTCGCCTTATTATATATATGTTGAGACGCTTTTGAAGCATTATCTGATCACTTTTTTGTATAATTAGAGGAAATAGTTACAATAAATGTCATCTTGAAGCAATATTCTTTTAGGTTGCTTTCTTTCACACCTTTGTATTTTTAGTTCAATGTAGCATTTTTTGATGATCGTCTGAAGTCTGGTTCTTTTTGTGACGTCAAAATCAGTTGCTCCAGCAATTCACTAGTTTCTATTTGGAATTCGGAATGGTCCTTTTTATTTTCTCATCTAAAGCCATAATAAAATCACCCAGATTTGCCTTTATACATTTTCCAATTATTTTCATCTTCTAGCTGAAATATTTGGAGAATAAAAATTCTGAGTTAAATCTGCAACTTGAACAAATGAATAGTCGAATGAGTAGTTTGGAGACAGTTTTAGAAATTCAAGAAAAACAGTTGTCCAGAGAAAGTGGTAATGAAGTGTTGCCTGTCAATAATAAGTAAGTTTCACTATCTTTTTAGAAATTGTACAGACTGACATTTTTACTCGATGCATTCCGTTTATACGAAATAGTAACGTGATTATGATTCAAGACTGACTAACTGAATAATTAAAACCAAATCGTACGAATGGTCAAGATTTATATGACACGAATATAAACTGACTGATATAGGCACTAGAAAGTTAGAATATGATCCCCAGTTTACAATATTGGTTTCTTTACATCCCTCATATATGTTATTTCAACAATCTGCCCAAGAATATTACGAACACAATTTTCTCACTAAATAAAATAGCTACTCAACTAAAACCATTTCGACCAACTATCCAGCGATCCTTCGTTTATTCAAAATCAAATTTCAGTTTGTTACACAATAATGTCGTAACGTTATCTGTGAGAGTTCCTATTGAACAAAAAGTTATACGTTGTCTATACATCTTGAAATATGTCACCTATATGCTGATACCGAAAATCATTCCAATCATGAAAAATATTTATAATTGACAGTTGCATACCGACCATTAAAATGAATATGTGCTAGGCTCATATAGGTTCCTAATCCTATCGACGAAAGCAAAATTACGTTTCACAATGTGTCTTACTATTTCTTGACAAAGAGGTTTAAAATATTTTACTAATCCTTTTCCAGCTATAAATAGTCTGCCAAATTGAAGAATGGACGTTAACTAATCATTAATCTCTACCATGTTAATAATCACAAATCTGCATCTCAAACAGTTGTAAATAATAACCAACTCCGTATGTACATAGTTGTTACGTAATACAATAATCGTCAATAGATGTAGATATGGCCTACCAGAGATATGTATCGATTCAAGTTATCATATATAAGAGATGATAAATTATTAGGAGAGATAAAGAAGAGAAAATAAAGAATAGTACTGAAACTAGCAAAGTCTATGAGTAAAAAAAGCTACTAATAGTTATAAAATAATATTATTGAAGTGGTTTTCAAGTTATACGACGTAAACCGTAGATCTTAAATATCTTCACCACCAGTGAAAGATTTTTCCTCACCTACATGACTCAGACCAACAGACAACAGCTTCTGTAATTATTATTTTCAGAATATAAATTATTATTATTATTATTATTATTATTATTATTATTATTATTATCATTATAAACTGATCCTATATATCTATCTAGCCGCTTCTATACTCTTACAAACCTGATTCTTTGCTAACTAACATAGCGCACCAAGGTAGAAGGTGGTTAGACGTGTAATACAAAAGTCTTAGTCAGTTTAATCGACTAAGATTCACAATCTATCCAACCAATTGATCATCTCTATCTTACACTCTCTTTCTTACCGCAGCATTTTCACTTGATAATTCCACCGTATTCGAGCAACAATTCAAATACACATTACAAAACTTGTAATCTGTGCATATTACCTACTTTCAGAAGCCACTTTTAACATCCATGTATTGAAAAAGAGCGGATTAACCAGACCATAAACTCACCTTTTGACAAATAATTTGATATCCTACCTCCCTCACAAGTAGTGTAACTTTACAAAGGGAAAAAAGACACTAATATCTGCAGCTTGAATTCATCAATCACGAACTTACTATGATTGATAAAGATATCATGATAAGTGAAGAGACTAATTAAGAGAATTAGTCCACTTCCTATTATCAGACCAAAAAATACATTTCATGCATTTACAATCATGTGTTCTGAAAAATATCTGTCAGTATCTTCATTACTGAAGATTATTTCGTGTACATGATCCAAGATGATGGGATAAACTCTTAGTAGGACACCTTTGTATATGAAGTCGAAAAAACGTGACTTTTCTAAGAAGTGTATATACATACTTAAACCAGGAAGGCAGAAAACACTAACTCACATCAATTGACGTTAATAATAATAAAGCTTTACATCAGAAAAATACAAAGCTTTCCTTGTGTAACTGGATTTTCTCTTCATACACACACTTGTGACACGTTCACTTATATTCACATCCTCTTATTGAAATTTAAGTTGGAGTTTTTTCTCTGAAAATATCTTTTTAATTCTTACAAGCTGAACTATCATCATATATGTACCTAGTTGTTAAGTTTGTAGCTCTTTTACCAAAGATAAATTATTTCCTTGCATAATCTATCGTATTGAATTCATATCTAAATATCATATGGTCAAATTGTGTTTATTTCTGACTATCATTTGTTAAATTAAATGCCTCATTTCAGTTATATTAACAATTCCCATGTACAGTATAGATTCATTTTGCAAATATAAATTTAAATTAGGTCTGGAAAAGTGGAAAATTTACTTTGCACATGGCGTAAACATGTTTTACGCTTACTTATTGAAATAGAAAATCTTAAGTCTGAAAATTCTCATACTGTAACCAAATCAAAGTGTGCCTATGAAAAGCTACTTTCAGAATTTGAATCTTTAAAAGCAACTTTAGAAGCAACTGAATTTAAACTGAAAGCTAGCGATTCTGCACTGAACGTAGAACGTAATAAAAGACAGGTAAGTAGAAGTTTTCTCTGTACGAAATAATAACGAAATTAAATAATTGAAATTCTATACTTTTTGTGTTGATTAAAACTAGTATACGCTATTAGATTCAATATCATGACGTATACTCAGAAAAAGGAAACTTCCCGAATAATAATACCATGGTTGTGAAAGTAGGGTCCAAAAGATTAAGATTGTTACTCTCCTCGAAATTGTCTTCGGGTTACAAAGTACACTTATATTTGTCCAACAACTTTCATTGTAGAGATCTTAGGAGTAACAGGTTTAACTCATATATATTCTGTTGTATCTCGTCAGATGCCCATTGTTATTGAACTATGACACCCATTTGTAAGTATAAGGAAAAACAAACCCTATTGATTGGTTGTACCCTCATCGCATTAGTGTTTTTCTTGTTTAATTTATTTAAAAATGAAAATCTTCGGTTAAAAAATAACCAATAATAGGTAGTGTTTTGGTGAAACTTTAAATGTTCTTAACTTTACATACATTTATATATAAACTTGGCTTTCATATCATTGATATTATTAGTAAACTATCGGCTAGTAATTAACTCCTCCTGTAGCTTTCCTAGGGCTACTGCCGGTCCCAAGCCCAGGTAAAGAAGTAGGGTTGGGCGTGGGGTCGGCAACCCCATCCCGTAAAAAATGGCCTTGCTAAAAAACACTAACCGGAATATACAATTTGAACCACTTAAACTCTGCCCTCAGGGTTGAAGGAAGAACTATGGTGCCTCATGATGAAAGCCGAGGTTCTTTGGAAGGACCAGTCAAATAACAACGGGAATGAGGCGGTACAACTTGGCGGTCCTCGGAATCAGCGAATCCCATTGGACCCAAGCTAAACAGCTAAGGTTAGGTACGGGAGAGGTTCCGCTGCACTCCGGTCACGAGGAGGAAAATGCTCCACACACGCAGGGAGTTGCTCTAATGCTGTCAAAGAAGCACGCAATGTACTTATAGGATGGGAACCTTATGTATCCAGGATCATCAAAGCATCCTTCAAAATAAAGGAAGAGGGTATTACAATGAATGTTATGCACCCACCTATGATAGCAATGATGACGATAAAGATCAGTTCTACTCGAGGCTGCAATCTATCATAGAGAAGTGCTCACGAAAGGACCTGACAATCCTAATTGGGAATCTAAACACCAAAGTCGGAATGGAGAACAACAGTTATGAAGATATCATGGGACGACATGGACTGGTTGGGAGAAAGGAAAAAGAATGGCGAGAGATTCGCAAATCTATGTGCACTCAAAAAATTGGTTATAGGCGGCACAATATTCACACACAAACACATACACAAAGCTACGTGGGTCTCACCGGACCACATCACGGAGAATCAGATAGATCATATTTGTACCAATAGAAAATACACAAGGACAATAGAAGACGTAAGAACCAGGAGAGGAGCTGATATAGCTTCAGATCAACACTTGGTGGTTGCCAAGATGAAATTGAAGCTAAAGAAGCATGGGAAAACTGAACAAACAGCATTAAAAAAGGTTCAATACAGTCTTCCTTCGAGATACTGACAAACGTAACTAATCCAAGATAACTCTCAGTAACAGGCTCCTATCCTTACAGGATCTACTTAAAGAAGAAGAAACTGCCATGGAGGACAACTGGAAAGGGATCAAGGAAGCTCTAACTTCAACATGTCAGGAGGTTCTGGACCGAAAGAAGCATTGTCATAAGGAATGGATCTTTATGGAAACCCTGGACAGGATTCAAGAAATGAAGAACAAAAAGACAACAATTAATAACAGCCAAACAAGAACAGATAAAGTCAAGACACAAGCTAAATACACCGAAGCAAACAAGCAAGTGAATAAGAGCATTAGAGCCGACAAGCAAAAATACCTAGTAGACCTAGTAGCGACAGCGGGGAAAGCAGTAACAGAAGAAAATATGAAACAATTGTATGACAACAAAGAAACTGACAGGGAAATATAGTAAACCAGAGAGACTCGTCATCGACAAAGAAGGCAATACCACCACCGAGATTCAAGAACAGAGGAACAGATGGGAGGAGCACTTCGAAAAACTCTTGAATCGACCAGCTTCGTTGAATCCAACGAACATCGAAGCTGCACACACAGACCTTCTTATAGATGTCACTCCAACAAAGATCGAATAAATCAGGCAAATCAAGAATGAGAAAGCAACAGGACTTGACAACATACCAGTCGAAGCACCAAAGTCAGACATAGAAGTAACTGGAAGTATGCTTTACGTTCTATTTAGGAGGATTTGGAGGAAGAACAATTGCCACCAGACCTGAAAGAAGGATTCCTCATCAAGATACCAAAGAAAGGAAACCTTAGCAAGTGTGAGAGCTACAGTGGTATCACACTACTGTCGGTGCCAGCACATGTTTTCAACAGTGTTGCTGAAACGGATGGAAGACTCAATAGATGCCCAATTTCTAGATCAACAAGCCGGCTTCCATAAGGATTGGTCGTGCACAGACCAAATCGCGACACTATGGATCATTGTTAAACAATCAATTAAATGGAGTTCGTCACTGTACACCAACTCCAATGATTATGAAAATGCATTTGACAATACGGATAGGAAAACCTTAAAGAACCTTCTTCGACACTGGTGTACCTGAGATCGTCAACATCATACAGAATTCATGCGATAGACTACACTACAAAGTCGTGCATGGAGGACAGCTGACAGATGTATTCCAAGTAAGGACCGGAGTTAGACAAGGTTGACTACTCCCCCCTTTCTCTTTCTTCTGGTGGTTGACTGGATTACGAAGACATCCACATTTGACAAGAAGCACAGAATAAAATGGAAAGGTTCGATGCAACTAGACGATTTCGACTTCGCAGATGACCTAGTTCTTCTATCCCATACATACGAATACAGATGAAGACAACTAGTGTAGCAGCAGCCTCTACAGCAGTAGGCCTCAACAACGGGGAAAACAAGATCCTCAAATACAACACGGAGAACATCAACCTAATCACACTCGATGGAGAAACTCTGGAGGAGGTGGAAAGTCTTACGTACCTGGGTAACATCACCTATAGACAAGGATGATCTGACTCACATGTGAAGGAAAGAATGGGCAAAGCAAGGGCAGAATTCCTACAATTGAAAAGTGTTTGCGACTCAACACAACCTTCAGCCAAAATGAAAGTCAGATTCTTTAATACGAACGTCATGAAATTTCTAGTGTACGGAGATAAAACTTTGAGAACTACCACAACCATTATCAAAAATGTACAAGTATTTATAAACAGTTGTCTACGCAAGATACTCAATGTCCGTTGATCGGATACCATCAGCAACAACCTAGAACAAACCAGCTTCCAGTTGAAGAGGAAATTAAGAAGAGACGCTCGTGATGGATAGAACACACATCGAGACAATCATCAAACTGCATCACGAGGCAAGCGCTAACTTGAAATTCTAAAGGGAAACGAAAAAGAGAAAGGGCAAAGAACACACTGCGTCAAGAATTGGAAGAAGACATGAAAAGGATGAATAGCGACTGGAGAGGATTGGCCACGACAGAGTTGGGTGGAGAATGCTGGTGGGCGGCCTATGCTCCTTGACGAGGGGTAACAGGTGAAAGTAAGTAAACTGGCTAGTGATTACTACTTTAGTTAACTTTCCAAACTTATATTTCTCAACAGTAAATCAAAACAAATATTGACTTAATAGTTGATTCTGTATGTTTCATCATATATATGAATATCTTGTTTAGTATGTTCAAATCCCAATAGATGTATTTCATATGGAGAGACCAGTTTATAGTTACAAATCCCAAAACAATACGATCGGTTTAAAATTTACCACATGAACCTGCACTTGGTTAGTAGTTTCTATCAATGAATAAATCAGTATTCCGTTTCTTTACTGCGCGCCTTTCCAATCATTGAAATGCTATAGAAAGTATAGAATTTCGTTTATATTTTTGTAATATACTTCTTTTTCATAAACCAATTAAAGTATGTGGGATATGTTCTTCAAAATATGTCTTTGTTTAGCCAGAGTAGATACTTCGTTTCGATAAGACGGTAGTTAGAAGACAACTAAAGTTTTATTTAGTGGACAACTTCCCTGAATAGAATCATGGCTCCAATTAGTTGTTCGTATAATTCTTTATCACTTTATATAAAAGATGAAATCAATCTTCAACTACATATTGATTTCGTGTAAACCATCCACCTTCCTTATATTGCTAAACTTCAGTCATCTTTTAATGAAGTTGGACTATAACCAGCAGTGAAAGCCAAAACATATGTTAGCTGGACGCACTTTTATTCCGGTGCTGAAGTTCACACTGGGACTCCAGCCCAACACCTACCACTTAAAACCCCGATACGTTGTTCACTAAATTACAGAGTCCAAATTTCCACTGTGTTCATTAGATATGGAAAGTATGAATATCACGGGGATTTCGTGTGAATTCAACTGACGAGTCATAAGTCCTCTCTCTGGATTCAACTGCTACCCAAAATTTAAATTTGATCTAGCTTACAACTATATAGCAATATCAAGACAAACTAGTTAGTGTACACTTTATGCCGAAAGAAACTGGTCGATCCTAATTCTTAAAACCAACAACAGAAAAAGTACAAACCCTTACAAATTCAAATGTTTTTGTCTGAGTAGTACAGTCAATGAACACAAAATCCTAATAAAATGAATTAATAAGGCTACTTTGAGATATATATTAATGAGTTGATGTTTTTGATAAGTTGTACGATAAATACCATTGAAAAATAATTCCTTAATTTCATTATCATATTTCTCAAAGTAATTCTATTCGCTAATTTTTGTTATTAGGGATTCGAAAAAGATTTGGAAAGTTTACACTCAAAATTAGCAATGACTCAATCAAATTTAATAGAATCTCGTGAGAATTACAAGAAATTCGCTTTAAATACAAAACAAAATCTTGATCAAATTGTAAAAGCTATACAAACGTTTATGAATTGGCCAGAATCCGGTCCACTGAGTCAACAAACTCCAATAACAATATGTTCAGTTTTTCGTCGTTTAAGACATTTAGAAAGGCGTTTAGAATTTGCTAACTCTCGTCTTCCCGTTTTACGCACTCGTTTATTGTTATCGTCATCATTATTACACCGAAAAGCAGATGTAGACCAGTCAACGCAAGTCAGCTACGAATTAAAACATTGGGTTGGTGATATTTTATCAGAATCAGAGAAAGAAGAGTAAGTCAAAGTCGGTTCCATTTAAATTCCTATCAACTTAATATTTACAAATTCACATAACAATTTATTATTTTGTTGTAATTGGATAATAACTGATGTTTGTGATTTATAACAGATGTCCGAATATCATTAGTCTTTCATTAACCTTCCCAATCTCTTTGAATCTTCCGATCTTTCGCCACGCATAACGATGATTTAGCGTTTCTCTTTAAAAAAGACTTAGACTTTGTACAAAATGGCAGCTATTCTGAAGAATGTTATCTATCTTTTGTTTATGATAATAAAAAAGTAGTGTGTAAAATGCATAAGAAGGAACTTGTTTTCTTTTTGCATTGAAAATCAAAATCTCGTAAAAGAACAAAAAAGTTGTATTTTAGTAAGTTTATGGTCTAAATTAGATGTGTCAAGAACGCTGAGCAATAATCGACCAAATTTAATCTGGCTTACCTATATGTCCTTGCATAATAAAATAATGAAATCTATATTCCCATAGCTTTTCAAGCGATTCCAATTCATCAACGATATATTTTGTTTTCTATGCAACAAAAATTGATATGCTAGATTTATTTTCATAGTCATAAAAGTATTATATAATAATCACAGTGTGTGCAATTTCTACTTTTTTAATAGGATTATTTCTCAGGCTCAAACCGAGGCCCTTCGGGCTATAAAAGAGCGTAACCGAGCATTAGAACAGTTGTCCGATTATGTTAAATCATTTGATAATCGTGTTCAAGATGCTGAGAAAGCAGGTTTGTCTTAGATTTTGATTGCATGATATTATCCTAAGTTTGATCTATTCATATCTAATTCTTAAGTCATTCTGGAAGTACAAGAGTCATCATTACATGTGTATTCATATATTTAACAGAATATTTTCCTTTATCTTGGAGAAAGGGTCCCCAAATACCCTGGTACAGCCAAGAGTGGGGAGAATCAGCTCTCCCTCTCGAAATGCTCTCACATGGCCACGTGTATACAACCACTACCAGGGAAGTCTTACTCACTGCCTTCTCGCGGTGGGGATGTTGTTTACGAAATTGAGAGGACGAAAAGCGAATGTTCGGTGCTTTAACCGGGTCGGTAAACACGAAGAGTCCACCTAGGGTTGTTGGAAAACCCTGATTCCAAACCAATGGTGTACAGGGGCTCCAGGACCCTGAAGGAACAAATGGCGTATGAACCAGTCGTTGGTCAGCGGCTACATCTCCTGACGTTGCTCCACGACCTTGTGGATCAAACCTTAAGGTCAAAGGCTCCGGGTGTTGCCCCCCCCCCTAAGAAGACCACCTGCTTCGGTTTTGGCACCAGGGCAGTATCCCAGCCCTCACATAAATCGAATGATTTATGTGGCGCATATCTATTTGGTGCCTACTTGTACCAATGCTTATGCGTTCAAATAAGTAACTCTATCCCACATCTCACATTAGATGCCTTGTAATTGTACATTAAAAAATAATTATATTTATAAAGCGGACTAATCCTACTGTCAATTTTACCTTACCTGTTCTTAGTTGAAAAAGAATTATCAGAACTTCGGGAAGCAAACAGAATTTTGAATCTATCTTTACATGATGAACAAAAGGTTAGTTAGTTTTATTGATTAAAACTAAATAATGGTTACTACTCACTAATTAGTGTAAACATCTCAGTCCTGAAGGTAGGAGATCAATAGTGATCGGAATAGTTCAGTGGTAACCTTTCTAGTTACAGTTCTAAGTGACTTGTTAGTTTTTCTAAAGCAGCATCATTCCCTTCAAGATTACAAATCAACTTTATTTAGAGTACCAAGCAGCATAAAACGTACGTTAAAAGCTTTCTACAAATTCCTTCTTATCGTTTAACATCAAAGTGATTTATTTAAACTCAGAGACTAATTAGTATAGGAATGAGTCTTGTAGAGAAATGTACTCCGAATATTGGTTATTACAAGTTAAAGTTGTATGTTTTTATAGTGAAAAATAATTTCGTTTGTATGTAGTGTCTACACAATGTGTATAAGATCCCTATACATGAATTAATTCTGAATAGTCTGTCAGTCGTTTTACATATAGATATAATTATATTCTAAAAATTGTTCAGTTTACAATATATATTACAATACTTAGTGTCTTAATATTAAATTTTTTTTATACAGCTTATGCATAACTTTTAAGTTTCTTGTATAAAATATTCAACCCAAACAGTATGCCTACGATTGAGTTGCTCAATAGATGGTTAATTAAAAGAAATAGTTTATCAAGAATAAATATCAACGTCACAAATTAACCAATAATCATTCACTCCTTTACATCGTAACAGTGCTATATATTCTATTCATTTCTAATACGTGTATGTTCAACGGTAAACGCTTGAATATAATAATAAATGTCTGTAAACGCTCATAGCGATGTTTTTTACTTGCCATTTCTCAAGATTCCTGGGTGTAGAAAACTGTTTTTCAATAATAGCTTCGATATTTTGTTTTCAGTTAAATGGTTCCCAAATTAACATTATTCTGTTAAATATTAATTATCCGTATGTTATTACGAAAAATGTTTCATCTAAGATGTAAAGTGAATAGTCTAGTTAGAACTACACCACCAATCCCATTAGTTCTATATATGCAAATGTTTCTTACTAGGTGGGCGAAATATTTCTGGTTACTGTGTTATTTTTATTAATTTGTAAAATGACGATAATGATCAGCTGAATACTTGTTAGTGACACCTTTTTCACTAGTCAGATAAGACTGATTAAAGTTATAATTACTTATTTCTTTTGTTTAAACTCTCTACCTCCCTCTCAGTAATTCATCATTAAAATCTGGTTAAATCATGAAACCTGTTTGGTACTACGTATCCAACAGTCCATTACTGTATTTTTATGTATGAACGTTTCTCATCAATGTTGTACAAACTATACTTCGATGGAACGAAGTAATATTAATTCACTGTGTGCATTAGTCATTGCTTCAGTGCTCGTCGATTTGGGAATGGATGTTTTCTCAGTATAAATAAAATAAGGTTTTTTCTTTGACTTTTATCGGCTTACACTATTTACAGTCTTGTTCTATGAAAATTCATCCCTTAAAAGAGGCTATCCAAACAGCGCAAAATCCATTCCACTATATCATCAAAATTTTTAAAAATATGATTTCCCATCGCTGAGAAATATATAAGTTCAGTTATAAGTAAGTAGTACAAAGTTATCAAATCATCTAGACAAGTTCCCAGTTTTTAAGTACTTGAGCAAGAGTTTTTTTTTATTCTTACGGTTAACTAACCTATCTTTTTTTACCATATCTATTAAGTTTATTCCAATGGCAATATAAATACATTGAAGTAAAAGCCCTTACAAATTATTAAATATTACTTCCAACTTTAAATAATATTTTACTTTACAATTTACTTCTTATATTAGAAATTAAAAGAATGTTCAGATCAATTAAAAAGTGAAAAACTAACTAATAATGATCTTGAACAAAAGTATACAGATGAAATTGGAAATTTAAAAACTCAACTCTCTGAAACGGATATGAAGCTTACCAAAGCTTTAACGGAACTACGTCGGGCTGAACGCCGTGTAGATCGAGAAATTAATGAAAGAAAGTTACAGGTGACTTTAAAATTTTGTTTTCTTTTCTTATAAAGTCGAATAAATCTGTACGGCTTACAACCAAATTATTATCATGTTTTATAAATTGTAGAAAACAGACAGGTTTACTAATTAACCAACCTTTGACCTAACCACTCCTATGAATCCGCTGTTCATCTTGCTGTGCTAATGAGGTATGGCAACCTGGACCGATGCACATATGTGCCTGGTCCTACGTTGTAGCTGACTGACTGACTGACTAATTAAGATATCCTTCGAAGTAGTAGATTTACTTAACTTCCAACTATAAAATCTGAGCGTTCTCAATTGTTAACCTTTAAAGACAGATGATGTGTCTGTACATGATTAGATCCAACGTAGTTTCATTACAATACTTACAAGAAATCCATTTCAGATCATTCCCGTTATTAAGAATGTTAATTTTCAGTGACACTACCCATTTTATTGTAAATAATATTCTTTTATCTTTCTTCTTAATACGATTCTAGGTTATTACGAGCCTTATCTGAATATAATAGTTGCTTATATTAAGCATTTTTCGACACTATACTTCTGTTATTACTTCATATAATAGAATTACAATTTACGTTCGTGTGGTCATATAATTAAGAACATTTTCTGCAAATGACTCATATCTGACATCAATACAAGCTAAGACAGCATTTTTCAGTTTATCGAACTAGTTATTTTATGTGTTTTATATACTCATATCCAAACACCACCTACTTCAATTCACTATTTTTGCTGACATAACATTAGTTTCGGAGGGGAAGAGGCTTTTCACAACAAAATATGACGTCAATTAATGATGTTATCGTTGGTCGGATCCAAGTGCTCTAACTTTTCAGATGGGTCAGTAAAACGTTTCAAGTCCAAGTTTAAATTGTCAGGTAATATAACTCAGAAGCTGCTAGTGGCACAGATGTATCACTACTTTCCTCCGACTTTCAGGTGCTACTAGATTATTTCCTGTTTTTTTATTGCTTTCGTCCTTCTATTTTTCTTTACACAAGTTTTATGTTCAAGCCGAAAAACTTTCGTTCCAGGTTCTAGTTACTTTCGTCCTGTGTATTTAGTTCCATGTAGTAACGTTTGTCTAATGTTGTAACTGTACATTGGACATAGTGCTTTCAAGACACAATTGTCATAGGGATATAACTTGTGTATAAAATTAGATGGATATCTTAGACTAATGAGATACATCAAAAGGCAAATCGATTGTAGACAATTCTCCCACTTTTTATCACAATTTCATCTTCAGTTTTTTCTTCATTGGTTCAACACAGATCAATAGTATTGAGAATACCTACAAATCCAAAATTCAAACTCTAGAGAATGCACTTCATTCGTTTTATCCAGAACCTTATCACTGCTATGGTAACAATACAGCGAAGTCACCAAATGTTATTCAAAAAATGACGAGTCCAATAGTACCTACATTTGCAAGCCATATTGGTAGGTTTATTTTAAGTCGCTTAACTTCCTCACATTTTAGATCTCAATGAATCAATTCGTAAACTTGACCACCTTGCTGATCGACTAAATAGCGATTTGTCAAGCGATTCAGATGCTGAAAAAGATGTTGAACAGTGACTTGTAGAAATGTGAAGGCTGTACATATTTTCATATTTTAGTTTGTCTTCACCGTGATACACTACATTAAAGGTATGCTAATATAAGAAATGTTAATATACATATAACAAGCGGAAAATTCTTCAAATGTAATTCCTATTTATGAAATTTTTGATAGTGTACCAATCAGAAATCGCCAAATGATAAGTGCATGTGGTTGACCAACAAATGGCTTTATTTTTCAAGGAATAAAATATAAACCACTGATAGCTTTGATTTCCAAAAGAACAAATCAATAAATGGGTTCACATACAATCCATTCAGTTTAGTTAAATAAACTTTCTTCCTCGTTCTCCATCTTTTCCTTCGAGTAGTCGGGTTTGTGCATAGAAAGTATGTATCAATATCGACTCGAGAACAATGTTTACTTCACTCGCTTAAAAACAAACGAATTTGTATACTGTATGCTTTCATATGAGTAGTAATTAAGAGATTAAATCGTACTAGTACAAAACACACTCCAATGACATTATCGGATCACAGCAAGAACAAAATGACTGATTAAAAAATAATTATCGTGAACTGAGTATTCCTCTTGACCCCATACCGTCTAGATGTTATCTATTGTAAAATTTGTTTCAGCATACAAACTGCTTAGTCTACAGAGCTGATTACTCATACTGTATGTTTGCTATATGATTTCCAGGGTTACCAGATGTGAAAAGTAACTGTTAGCTTAGTTAGCACCTAATCTAGTCAACATGTAGGAACTTTTCATAACACGGCATCAAAAAAACTACGTCGAAATGAGATAGCTTTTCCTAAGGCTTTTTTGTGAGTTTTCTGAACTGAATTTTCATAAACTGGTGTTTGCCTAAATATTCGGAGTAAAAAGTTTCCAATTTAATGTAAACAAATCAAATCAACACTTCATTTTATTTTTGACAAGCATCATGTCATATAAATTATCGGTTTCATTTAGAAATACTTTTATGTAAATGACAGTTATTGGACCGAAGAATTTCTTAGCAAATGCTACTATGTAGCTTTTACTTACTCTAAAGTACTATTTATAAGTGAGCGTATGCTTCTCATTGGAAATTTCGAAATCTGAGCTGTCCTGAATGTGAAAATTCCCAGAATTGTGACGCTTTCATTGGGTCGTCTCCAGATTTATTTGTATACATGGAGTAAGATTATTGTTTGAAGAAATGTTCTCCTGTGGACAAACTATTGATAATCTGTTGAGTAATATCCGTAAGAGAGTTACTAGCATCAATAACAAGATATTCTTCATCTTCTCCAAATGATTCCAATGTTTCTAACTGACTTTCTATAAGTGAAGGGTGTGCAAAATGTCCCTTGCGCTCACTGACCCGTTTCTGTAGCAGATTTTTATTTGCACTCAGCAACACAAAAAGTGTTCTTGTTTGACAATTTGCATCGTTGCTACTGGATAAAATATTTCGGTACGACTTTTTCAAAGCACTGCATGCTAATATGGCATTCTTGTGTTGCATTAACTCATTTCTTAGGGACCGAAGCCATGGCAAACGATCTTCATCATTCAGCGGAATTCCCATAGACGTTTTAAATCGATTACTATCAGAATGATAGTCATCACCTTCTATAAATGGCCAGTTAGTTCGAATCGCCAACGAATTTCCTACTGTTGATTTTCCGCAACCACATGGTCCCATAATTACAATGATCATATTAATTTATATTATATTGGACCTATAAGTAGAAAAATTGAATCGGACGATTAGTATCAATTTGATTATTGACAGAAACGTAAACTGTATAATGCTTCAACTACATTTAATGTGTCTAGCTTCAAAGCAACCGAATAAGGGCGGAACTCCACAAGGGGATTTGGCGTCGATTAAGTGAGAATGCAGCCGACCAGTGCCTTTCTGAATACCGTTGGATAATAGTCAGTTTTCCTACAAAATAGATCCATGCAGCTGGAGGACACGACGGATATATGTTGCTAATTACATAACCTTTCCTTCCAAAATAACTTATTTTCGGTTCGTCCCTCATATCATGAAAGAAACCTTGCGTTGAGATGTAACTTTTTGTAAGGTCTTATTTACACAATCGAACAAGAATTCAAATGTCAGTAAGCCTAGTGATCGAGACTCACAAAAGACAGTTTTACTCTCTATGCTTTAATAAAATCGACAGTTGAAAACTTTTTAAGTAGTCCTAAGTGATATAAATCTAGTTTCGTAGTTTAATTATGAACATGTAATTTTACATGCCGTTAAAGGTAGGAGGATTTTCACTTCGCGATTACCCACATCGTACTAAGATACTTCATGAGGTACCCGAAAAGGCCAGGCTAGGAGCAGTTTTGACAAACTAAGGGCACGAGCGTAGTGCCAAAGGACAACTGATTATGGCCGGTTGCACACTTATTTGAGTCGTTTCAGATGAGATGGCTCCGCAGTTTTAAGGCCTTAATCGCTGGAGAAGGTAATTTGTAGAAAGGTGAGTGTGACATTTTTAGGGCTGATCTTTTCTAGATCCATCTGTTATGAGAAGACAACATTGCTGCGGATGCTGTATTTCTGAGGAAAATATACTGCCGTCACACCTCTGTGCAGTGAGCAGTACAACTTTGCCCTCAGCCCATGAGTTTGCTGCTTTTCGTACTACTACTCTCCAACCAACCTGCATGGCATGAAAGAATCTGAAGGGACGAAAGTTCCAGCCAATATACCTCAATTGGGTTACGAAGGTATACAAGTTTCACCACCATGTCACGGTAGGAGCCACGGTCGGGACGGAAATTTGGCACCTAGGTTTGGTTGCATGATACAAGTCAGGACATATCTAAGAGATGTCTTATGGTTACCAACCATTTGTCTGGTATCCTTCGCTTTCTGAAATACAGAGAGATTGTTAAACAAACTAGAGGTATTACAAATTTATCCCTTGAGTCTGTTTGCTGAAGATATATATCTAACATTTTCAGTTCCAACAGTTCAGTGGTTAAACTGCAAACGGGCGTTGGTGCAGAAATGAACAATAACAGTTAGTGCTTCACCGAACTTATTTACGTACATTTATCTAAGAAATTGTTTCTGCGACTAGCTACAAAGGTGTTTGTAGAAGATTAAATCAACTTGAATCCACCCAACCTGCATTTCTGTAACATTCAAATCGACATAATTGTACAGGTTGTCCGATCTCTGTTTGAATTCCTCTTTACAAACAGTTAGTAGATATATTGTGCTTACTTATAGCGCTCTTCAGTAATACAGTGAACTCACTAAGCAAATTACTAGCGTTGTATCCCATCTATTTGCTAAATGATGACAGACAGTCTATAGGGAAATAATTTCAATGCAGATCCACACAAATGATAACAAATCAGTTCTCGTCGAGGTCAATTTGTTCCGAATTTTGTACGGTAACGATACAAACATACATGTTTGTATTGCGGTAAGCTGTGAATATATGAAACATCCTCTTTTTAGATGACTTCCAGGTAGCCAAGGGATCGAAGGTAATATTTACTGAAGCCCTCGGTTACTACGCCTTTAATGCAAACTCAGATGACAAGCTGCCGTGTCAAACTGAAGACTCTAAGAGGTGAAGTGATGATTTTATGCAATAGAACAATTGTTGGGGCTGAATGATTAGATATCCATCTTTGAAGAACTACAGGAGGATGGATGGATCCCAATTTAGTTTTCGGTCGTCAATATCTTGACTGGTAACTTCTCACCAATCGCTAAGTATACATTAAGTTCTTTCAAAACAAAAGTCTTCATCACACCACTCGCTTTTACTTCACATGATGTTATTAACGAGTAAGCTTTATTATTACTTAATTCTATTCTGAAAAGTCCCACATTTGCAATATCGCTTGTCTACTAATTGTGAAAGCGATCAGAACTGTCTAATTATATCAATAAGATGAATGTGCACATTATCATCCACCGTTGTAATGGACAGGAATACTTGCAGTATGATCTTTGGGATTTCTGTTGAAAACACACGGAGAAACCAGCATTTTAGAAGCTGTATTGCAGAAACAAGAACCCCATTATCAGTTTGTAAGTTGTTTAGAAAATTTAAGGTGACAAAATTATCAGAGATCTTTGGTAATGATCTTAAAAATGTTCACGAAGGCGATTTTAGCCTACATATTGACGTCAGAACTTGGTATTATTTATACCCTACATGGAACTGAAAGTAAAATGGATATAAATCATTACATTCTACAAAAAAACTCGCAGTAAGTCAACATTACAGTGAGCACCTTTGGTTAGATGTCCTGTGGTTACGGTTCGAAAGTTCAATCTGTCCTAATAATAAGACATAACAAGCGATGAATGATGCAAACCAGGCTTTTGTGCGCGATGCAAGGGATAAAACATATAAGCGCAGATGGCAATCCAAAGAAAATGTAAACCTGACACAGTTAAAGTTTATTACTGAATATGTGTGTTCATAAAGTATGTTTAGTAAATACTATCTACACTATACCATTATTCTTCAGCTGGACCCTCAAGTATACATGGACCCCACTGTAAATTATTCATTCCACACACGTTACCTAAAGTTTCATAGCTAATGTACATTTCATACGTTCCTAAAGGCTCTTGTTTGGTGCATTTCGTCAAACAAAAAAATTTGATACCTAGGTTTCATGAATCTCATCATATTAGGCACTTCTTTGTCAACTTGTATAACCGGAAAAGCACTGATATTGCTTTTATATTAATCACATTTTATTTGTTTAATATTATTAACGGAATTTGAACTAGAACATAAGAAATAAACCAACCTCCCAATTGTGAACAATAATAAGAAACAAATTACTCGTAAAAGATTTACAGATTTTTATTTTAATTCATTATACAAAATTACTTATGACACAGTCTTCTAACCATGACGATGAGCAAATATAACATAAGATACTACAAATGTTAAAAAAATAAGACTACATGGAGAACGTGACTAAACTGTGATGCAGGTTCATCTATTGTCTTCTAATGATCGTTTACTTAATTGTTCATTCTAGACTGATTTTGAAACTCCTAACTGTTAATGGTTTAATGTATAAATGTGCGAGAGCGAAAACTTTTTTGTGAAAAACAGTAAGGGATTAACTCTTAAATGGCTTTAGGTTCCCAAATGACGCCATTCCAGATGCAATAAAAGAGAAATACTTTTATACGCAGTAGATATTGTGAAGAGTTGTCGTCGTAGTTCGTTAGATTTCCGCCAAAATTTGAACTATTGAAGAAAACCACAAAAGCCCCCGTTTTAATAATTTCCCCAAGGTGTGTGGCAATCCTAAAATCAGACCGCGGACCAAATCGAAATTTAAGGGCGTTATCACATTTCCTCCAAAATTGACGAAATTCCCCATAATATCAGATCGGACTCAGCCTCACTAACTACTTATGTGCAACAGCAAGCACCCGAAGATGCTATAGAAAATCCAGATGTCTCGAGAGTCCGAGTAGATTACTAGTAAGAATTCTGGACCATAGGAAATTTGGACTTGTATCTGGGAATAAACCATAGCTAGTGAAAATTGTCGGATACTCAATCACTGATTCACAGCATTATCCCTAAGTACGTAAAAAGTCTAACAAAATTTAGAGACAATTATCGGAAAAATGCAGGGTTTCTTAATTTAAAATCTAAGAAACAGTACGGTTTTTTTTCGGTCTAAGTCTAGACGGTGAAAATTTCCGGTGAGAACCACACATCCATATGGGTTTCAGGAAGTTGATTGCAAACTTTAAAAAATTTAAACTAAACTGTCTCAAAAATTACTAAGCCCGATTCGGGTTTTCTTCAGTGTTTCGAAAAATTTGAAATCCATCTATGTTCTGACATAAAGCCCCATAATTGTTTAATGTCATGGGGAAGTCTGCGGTTTTCCCCATCATATAACTGTGAACGCTTCACGATCTTATGACATTTGTTTATACCAAGTTTATGATGTAAATGAAATGTTAGTGGTTTCACAGCTCATATTGCCTTAAAAATCTGATTTCAGTATGTTTGTGACTTTACTAGCAGGTCACAAATAACCTATAAGTTTTCTATTTCATGTAAACAGCGCTCTTCATTTTCTAACCCTTCTAGTATTTCACCTAGACATTTGGTACTAACAGAAAAATTGGTAAGCACCATTCAGATATTACTGGACAATATGCATCATAACTTTGTTCATAATTTGGTCAGTGAGTGCGGATTCTGTCTATAGAAACTTATTTGTGAACCATATAACAGACACATCTTAAGTCAGTATTAACTAGGACATGGTTTTGTCACCATGCTCAAAAGAAACACGCAACGTTTTACTTATGAAGAATTTGTGACCACTTAATGTGGCACTTCCAGTGATGTTATACACTGTTCCTGTATACGTTCAGAAAGCGGATGGAAAAGACTATCAACGTCAATTGTTACTCACATAATTCTTCTCAGATACGTTACATAATAATGTCACTTCAGTATAAAACGATGATACTTATTATGGATATAACTGTTTATGACTACATATTAGCAAGTTATATAATGTTCATAAATAGTTTAACGCTTAATTGTTTCAACTTACATTTTATAAACAACTACCAACATCCATGTTCATCATCACCATAATCAAGGTGATGAACCAGATGTAATAGGTTTTAGAGCTTATTTTCCTGAAAACTCAATTTGTGATCGATTTTTTGACTTGAAAAATGGTGGATTTTACTTTCTTGAGTTTGTATTGTTACAAATAACCATATTAGGCTTACTAAAGATTCACTTATATGGTGAGCAACAAATATGTCCTCAATATATATAAGGGAGAACCAAATAGTGAAGTATTCATAGTTGGGATCTATGATGGTGAAGTAAAACCATCCGATTTCAACGAAATGTCCTCAGCACTTGTAACTGAGTTACAAGAGTTGCTGACAGTAGGCATTTATGTAGATAAGTGTCAGGTACATTTAACAGTAAAATTAATTGCTGTTATTTGTGACACTCCAACTCGCAGTTACGTCAGGTATATTGTTGGACACAACGGTACCGCTGGCTGTGACAAATGGGTGGTCGAATGACTTTACCCAATGGTGAACACGACTTCAGAAGTGATTTCACTTTTCGTAGCAGGTCACAATCCATCCACCAACGTGGTAGTTCATACGAAAATCTGCCACTGGATATGTTAAAACGTTTCCCATCTGAACCTCTGCTTATGATATACTTAGGTATCACGAAGAAACCGAATTTCTTTATGGAAGGACTTAGCTATTAAGCGACTTTATCGGATGGATAAGTCTATTTTTGCAGCACTTGACTTATGTAGACAACACACTACATGCGACTTTCAAAAGAAATGTCGTTTATTACATAGAGTTTCTGTATGGAAAGCAACTGAATGTCGGTTGTTCTTATTATACTTAAGTCCTGTAGTTCTTTTTGATAGGTTACCGTTAGCAATGTACAGAAACTTCCAGCGCCTGTCGTTGTCTGTATATTCATTATCTCACCCGAAGTTGCGCGACACCTTCATAAATAATGTTCGCATTATTGTCGACAACTTCTTGTTGACTTAAGAAGGCTGTTTGCCAACGGCAAACCGGGTTTGATCACACAAATTACTAATGGAAGCAGGATTAGAATTAGGGTATTCTATAACCAGTTCGATTTCTTTACTGACCCCTTTTCCCCCAGTACTATAGGTATATTCAAGTGCTCTACCGTAAGCCACGAGTGTACGTGAATTTCACCGACAGATATACTTTGTAAGTGCATATGTATACCTGCACAGCTTTTTGAGGTTATTAGTCCCCTAGCACACACCTATCAATAACGTGACATCACTTCTCAATGCCTGTCGCAAATACAATAGTTTTATCAGTTCGTGTGCCTGTTGATTAGAGATTAGAATTCGCCCCAAAATGCCCTGGTATAGCTGGGAGTGAGGTGGGCCTGCCCTCCCTCTCGAAATACTCTCACACGGCCACCAGTATACAGCCTCTGCCAGGGAAGTCCTACTCACTGCCTTCTCGTGGCGCGGCTGTTGTTTACGAAATTGAGAGGACGAAAAGAGAATGTCCGGCGCTTTAACTGGGTCGGTGGACACGGAAAGTTCACCTAGAGGAGTTGGAAAACCCTGATTCCAAACCAATGGTGCACATGGGCTCCAGTATCCTGAGGGAAAAAATGGCGTATGAACCAATCGTTGGTTACCGGCTTCCATGGGACTACATCTCCTTACGATGCTCCACTGCCTCGTGAATCAGACCTTTAGGTCAAAGGCTCGGGGTGTGGCCCTCTAAGAAAACCACCTGCTTCGGTCTGGACACCCGGGCAATATCACGGCCCACACACAAACAGAATGAAATGACGATAATTACGGAAAGTACTATTCTTGCTTCGATTAACAGTTAAACGATTCACATTATTATTATTATTTACTAAGTCATTATTAACCCTCTTTTATTCCCACTTTCTCTATCCTTATTTTTCTACTTATACAGCAGCTCACCTATGGTGGAAATTCGGTTCTATCTAAACGTTCTCGAGTCACTGCCTGGTTGAAAATTGTATGCTACCACCAAATACGAATACTGAAGCACTTTTTCTGAAACCACGTGCACCATTCAAACTGGCTGCCTTCAACGTTAGCACACTTATGCAGGTCGGACAACAGATAGGGCTGGCTATGTCTTTGAAGACAGGACTTACTATGGCGTTCTCGCAGTCGTTTAGCAATCGACACTGGGTTATGAATAAATTAAAACATACACTAAAGGGATTCGCAATGAAATCGGCTAGTTCCCTTAGTAATCTAGGATGCATTTCATCGGATCCAGTGGATTTGCCAATATCAAGCTTATTTAGCAGACCAAAGACATCGAGTTCTTTAATGGTCACATAATCAAGTTTATGTAGGCATCTGCACGCTCTCCAATCATCCGTATATATTGTAGTACCGGTTGTAGCCAGTGTTACTGGTGCTTTTATTATCCAGTTCGCAATTCGCCTTAGTTCAACCTGGATCGAGCGAGAAAACCCTATTCTAGCAGACGTCTTCATCCAACACAAATTGCATCGAAAGAGAACATCATCACGGTAGTCTGCACAAGTCATGTGATTACCACAACCACAAATAAAGAAACTCCTTAGTAGTCTCATTTATTGTAGTCGCTCGTTTTCTCTACAATTCGCTGTGAACCGATCGTACGCGAGCATCAGGTAGTGAAGTTGGTGCTGTGACCTTAAAAATCCCTTAAGCGCCTCTGGACGGCTCGTTCATAAATTATAGTCTTGCCCCCAAAAGTACCGATGATAAATTCCTTTCGAAAAACGGTACTCTTGGCGAATACTTTAATTGAAATCAATTCAATTAAAGTGAGAACAGTAATTCTGATGTGTAAATTACGATCAAAACAATAAAATTAACTCGGCGAGTAAAGTTCTATTGATTTTATGATGACACCTGATTAGTTCATGTTATTTCACACCAAACTAAATTATTTGTCTACTTTTAGTGTATTACTGACTGGAAATTATTGCTTTCTTGAGATGCAATTGTGGAGAAACTGTTGTAGCTTGTTGTCGGTTGAGTATTTAAGGACGTTATGATGCAATGTACTGGAAAATGAAAAAACTTTTCCACTTAGTTTGGAGATCAGAAAATATCTATGCAGATTTATTCAGGATAAATTTAGACCTTAACTTTGTGAAAAGTAAAAATAAGTAGGGCAAAAATGTGCCGCGATCAAGGTTTTCGAAGTTTGTGGGACAGATGTTTCTTTGTCTCGTGTCTATTTGACGGACTATAACATGCCCAAAGCATTGTTATTGGAACGCTCAGTGACGCTAGAACTCATACAACAAAATATTATATTTTATTGTAAATATGTCGTAAAATTTTAGAAAATACTCTGAATAATAATTCTTCGTTCAAAGAGCTGAGCTACATGGTGAAAATTACTATTATTCATACTGTAACAGTACCACAAATCATTACATGTGACGTTGCTTACGTGAGTATTTTTCCTATCGCAGGGCAGCAAAGAGTAAATGTAAAGGAAGAAGAGGAGCAAGCCCGACGCAAAGTGAACCTACAGAACGACGAATAAAATTATTTTGTAATAAGTGTTTTTTCTCGCACCCCAACCGTGCATTTTACTTTTCAAAAATATATCTGTTGTGCTGCTTCTTCACGTTCTTGCTCCTGACACATTTATCGGTCCTGACTGTCGTGTAGTTGTTTCAGATCACTCCTGCTTCCAAGTAAACGCTAATTACACATGCTACAATGACTTTTTGGGAAAACAATAAATTTACTCAAAATCTGGAGATAGAGAATTCACTCTCACTGTTAGTAGCCTGGTTATTAGCGCTCTTTAGCGACCACATGAACTCCGCTGTACTTGAAGGCAAAATTAAAATATGCGATTGATAATTGAGCCTGGCATTTTGACAAGTCACGTTAGGACGTATGGCAATCACCTTTGGTTATAAGGTTAAAATGTAAGTATTACAAGTATTTTGTGTCAAGAAATGAAAAATCAATCAATATACTACATTGTTACAGAACAAAATGTAACTTAAGGAGGAAGAGGGTACAAATGTTATCCGTGATAACATACCAACCGCCTTGAGCAATTAGTCAAATTTTCCCCAAGTCATTGAAAGGTCATTAGTGAGATGCCTATATTGTGATGGATACGGGTTCAATGGTTTTAGGCGCTTTTCCTAAGGTTTGAATTTCAGTCCTCGAACTAATTTCGTAGTTCACCGTTGGATATACACAAGAGTATTCTAATCCCATCGGAGTGAGAGAGGAAACACGATATTTAAATATTCTAGATGGGGTCAAATAAAACTTTTGGAGATTAAGTGGAAAGTTTTACCGACTAACTGGTCGAAAATGCGTCCTAAATTCACCAGTTCAAAGAGTGCTCAGAGGGCATTTCTATCGCAGTTAGCGTAAGAAATAGGATCATAAGGGACCGACACCCATAGATTTATTTCGACATGAGATAACTCTGGTAGGCCGCTGCCCAAGTTATATGTGTAGTGTGCACCCAAGAAACCAACGAAAGGGAAAATGCGTTAGAAAAGAAAAGGTAAATAAAGAGGAGACGCGTCAACATGTCTACTTTTTCGCCTGTCCGGAAAATAATAATGCGGATTTCCACCCTTTTTGTCGCCCTGTCGGTCAAATTGTCTACTTTTCGCCTAAAGATCTGCTGATCTGTCTACTTTTCGCCTTAATATACGCCGAATTGTCTACTTTTGTTACAACTTTTAAAACAGCACTAGCATAACCATAGCCTTTATCCCCATAACAAACCACAAATTGCAATTTGTCTAAGATAGGCTACTTTACTCAGTGTAGCGCTAAAAGTAAGTCAGTTGTTATCCATCCAACTTAGAATTCATGTCAGATCCTTCTGAAGTACCGGCTTATCATCTTGGTTGTAAGTTTCTCTCCAGAGTTTGGCATCGTCAGCGAAAACTAACAAACCAAGTAATTATTGCTGAGGAAGGTCATTAACGTAAATTAAGAAAAGAAGAGATCTTAATATTGAACATTGTTGGACGCTACGAGCACAATCTATATTCTGAAAAAGTGAAGTTTACCATGACGCTGAAACGTTTATCATACGGATATAATGGTTGTGCGAAACAGTCAATTAATAGGGACTTGCCAAAGAAGTTGAGATTATCGATGAAAAATATATGACTGATCCTAACAAAAGCTTTTCAGAAGTCAAGGCATATGACATCAACCTTCCTCTTACGATCAGAAATGATTGTATATCTGTTTAATATGGTTAGCAGACTGATTACACAGCAGCCACCTCTTCTGGATCTATGTTATTGGAATGAAAAGAAGTTTATGGACAATAAATATTCGCGTAGACCAGAGTGTATCAGAGACTCCATAACCTCTGATTGTATTGAGAAAAGTGATACCATCCGATTGCCTAAAGTTTCACTGCTTCTGCCTACTTCAAAACGTATCGTGATATGTCCCGGTTTACAGTGTAGCGTGGTGTCGAGTTGGGATTGACTATGAACACCGCTACAAAAGATCGCGTGCCAAAAAAATCCATGAAATCCCCGAGAAGCCAAATGTCAGAAGGCAGTTAATGAACCAAATCGAGGTATATTTGTTGGCGATCTCGTGGTATCGAAAGGATACCGAGATCGTGCCAGGATACAAGCTTGGTTACAGAACGAAACCGAATTCTTGCGAAGTCACAATCAAAGTGTAAGAATAATGGATGCTTTTTAGCACAGTTAAACAAAAGCACATTAAAACAAACACTGGTACAGTTGGTTATAATAATAATTGTTTTTATTAAACCAGTCGTGTTCTCGTGATAGATGTGAGTCACTACAACAGTTTTCTGAGACCATGTCCTTGCCTAGCGAATGAAAGAATAAACCATCAAGAGGTTTTCCGATTGTTAGAGCCACTTCACTCAGTGTAGTAGAATGAACCATATTCAGGTCAGGAAAGTGTCTCTGTTTGAACGCCGGTTCTCCTGACACACGAATTCAGCTCCTATATTCACTTTGAGATTCCTGTTAAGTTCTAGGTACGACTCACGTCGATGCAGCTTGTATGTGACGGTCGAAATATTTTTATATTCAGTTCTGCCAGAAGGTTAGTGGGACCACTGTCGTCGTTAGTGAGGCCGTTCGGACCCAAAACTTGCAACATTCCAGTTTCGGCTTGTTGAAGAGAGTCTAGACGACGGAGTAAGATTTTTGGATTTTAGACATGTTTTGGTAAAGCGTGACTCTGTATTGATAGTCAGACAAAAATAGGCTGCAGTTACGCGGTGGGTAGAACGAGCAGTGAACACACATGAAATCATATAAAAAGTCTAGGTTAATAAGCGAATAATTAAAAAGTTCAGAATGTGACTCGCAAAGATTAAATAAACCGATCGATCCAAATTCTAGAACAAGCTATGTGGACTTGACGAAGTGCCAAACACTACACTTTTCTCATTACCTCTGTCTATTAGTTTCTCGACTATTTGAACTGCTCATACGTGCTATTGTCACTGCTTGGTTTATATTTCATCAATCAATCCCTCAGGAGTCTTAGCATTCGAAGGGTGTCATTCCTTATCACTGTGAGTTGCTTGGAATCCCCAGGAAACGTTTAGAAGACAGACGGTTTTGAAGCTCATAAGATCGTGTGGAGTAAGAGATACCAATGGGTGTTCACATCAAGTTGAGGGTGAACTTCCCAGTTCAGCTGATGTAGATTGACTTGTATAGCTAATAAATTCGGAATCCAACGCTCGTTGTTAGTAGCATGTCAAGGCTCATTTTTGCCGATTGGACTGAAGGCTATAATGGCATGATCACTTTTAATCAGGAGAGCCAGGATTATGAGGTCATCAGTTAAGAATGCTTCGTTCGAAAATATTCATTTAAAGTGTAACGATGTCTCGCTATTCCTTCACAGAACTACTGGCATCAAATTTTCAATAATCCCAGGTCTTCAGTGAGACTGAAGAATCGAGCTGCCGTAGAATTTTCACCCCTAATATACGTGTGTTCAGAGAAGTTGTTTTTGGAAGGATTGAATTCTCATAGAATCAGGATATGAGTGTATGCGAGACGAGTTGAACAGAAAAATGCATCCATCATAGGGTTGTCTAACTCGGTTTCAGCAGTGGACATCCTGTATATGACTACACCTAGCAATCTCGAGGTGTCAGACAATCTTGCTGAGCGTAACACTAATTCATCATGGTTGATAAACTCTTCAGTGTTCATTTGACGTACAACCAAACAATACCATAAGTACTGAGCTGCTTCACTCTCCAATCCTGTTTCGCCGTCGTTGCGGAAAAAAGATATGCCGAATGTTACTAGCTCATAGTCCGTACTTTCGGATGTCTATGTTTCAGACATTCCTACCACATGTGTATTATAGCCTTACTTAGTTCACGCGACTCAGTCATTTTTTTCGGTTGACCCTCAGTGTATATATATTGGTAGTTGATGCTTTATCTCCCGCTTCCTGTCTGTCTGAATAAGCCTTGTGTAAATGGACCGACAACTTGACTATGCAGGATGTTCCGTGTTGAAAGCCCTCGTCTCTCCATACTTTCCACGTACTTGACTTCAGGAGATGCAGTGTCATGGTAAAAAAATAATGATTTATTCTCAAATAACAGTTTGTCACACAAGGCATGCCAGTTACAAATGACACAATATACGCTGCAGTAAATCACATAGCTGGGTTGATAATTTATAAGATATGAATGTAGATGGTTTTAATCAGTACCACAGTTGGCGCGCCTCATGAAGGTTGCGTTGCGAATGTGCAACTGATGGTCAAGGATAGGTCCATTGAAGGTGGGAGCTTCTAGAAACCACAGCCTGATGTCCCTTTGGAATATCTTAGGCTTTAAGGATGGTGCACGATGAAGTCACCCGTTCCATATCTCAAGGGGGCTGAAGGATGGAGCAAGCAAAAGAAAGGACGAGAGGCAGATTAGACAACATTCATGAAGGAATGTTTAAAGTATGATTACTCAGTCTAATTTTCTTTTATTAAGGTATTTGTTAAGCAAGAGAATTTTAATGGGTCAAAGAGAATAAGTGTAATCAAGGTATGAGTGGACAAACAACCGACAAATGGAGGGGATTTAGAAAGGAGCTGAAAGTATGAGATTATGTGTGGTCATAAAATATAGTGCTAAAAACAGTATTGTGATATACAAATGACTATCTTCCTTTTCTATCGGAGCTGTTGTAGCCATTTTCTTTTTTCTGTCTTATTATATTTTTTGAGTATCATAGGGTCTTGAGTAGGCTTCGTATATTAGCGAATTGTCTTGTTTGCTTGTAATAGGATTACTGGGTAGGAAGTGAAATCAATTCAACGTTCGTAACACGATTTGATAAGGTATTTTCATGATGAATCAGCATTAAAACCTTAAGTTCGTGACATCCCACTAAACCATTCCAAGCAACACAAAAAGGGGAAATAAAGGGGAAGAAAGGGGAAATAAAGCGAACGAAAGGGGAAATGTCGCTTTTTCCCCCTTACGTCGTGTATTTGGGGGAAATTTGTCGACAGTTCTACGTAACGTACAGTGTTTGAATGAACCGCATCGGGAACTGAAGTTTTCATAAACTCCGACAAATTTAGGCACCGCTTAATAAAAAAAACAAAAGTATTGTCATAGAAACAATGTACAAAATACGGAACCAGGAATTCGGTTGATACGCATATAGAGTGACTTCGTTTGTTGTTTAGCTAAAGTGTTCCGACATGCTTTGGAGCCATCACAAAAAACTTACGTGATGCAGGTGAGTGACGTGCTCTCAGATTTTCATGTTCATTGTAACTGATTACCTTGTAAGGCCAATACTATTAGTTATTTTGAAGTCAGTGAGAATGTTCGTAGACGTAGGGCCACTGTGAACTTGTCACGTTCCCTTGGCTGTCATAGATCCACTTATAACAGAAGGTGGAATAAAATGAAAATTGCTTTCATGAAAAAATATCACTTACGGCTCCTTATATAAGGATATGTTATTTAGACCAAATGTTTGAATTACGATCACTGGGATTATTTGAAATGTAATATACTCTCCATTCTCAGTGCTCAATTTTTGTCGATCTGTTTGTCTTAATATTGATGAATGTTCATATAAATGTGCTCAATGTTGATTGGCAGTTGGACAGTCCTTCGGATTCTCGCGCTCTTTGTCAACTAGTCAAAACAATTTTATTGGAAGACTACAAAGCCAATCTCGTGGTCGGTATTCCTAAAAAACCCTGTCTCTTTAGCGTTTTTGACTGTGATATTCGATCCTTTTTAACCCCGTTGACAAGAGTTCAGTCGCCTGCAGAATTTTTGAGGACTACAGTGGTATTCAGGTAG